TGGAATAGCTGGGTCATAATGCAGCTCAATTTTAAGCTTACTATGAACCCTCCATATTGTTTTCCATAGGGTTTGAAGTAGATAACATTCCCATCAGCTGTGGATGAGAGTTTCTTTTTCACCATATCCCCATAAACACAGACTGTTCCCATTATTTTTGATATGTGCCATTCTCACTGGTGTGAGGGGTTATTTGATTTGGATTTCCCTAACAAGTGATGATCAACATTTTTTTCATGTACCTGTTGGTCTTGTTCAGAGAAGTCCCTGTTCATTTCTTCTCCTCGGCTTTTGATAGGTTTTTAGAAATTTTTTTGTTGATGATCATTGTGAGTACTTTATATATCCTGGGTATCAACCCTTTATCTGATGTGCTGGCTTCAAATACTTCTCCCATTCAGTTAGCTGTGTTTTAGTTTTAGCACATGCTTCTTTTGCTATGCAGAAACTTTAATTCGATACAGTCCTATTTGTTTATTTTTTTATTCTGTTCCCTTTGCCAATGGCATTGTTTCATTAACACCCTTGTGGTCCAGATCTTGGAGTGTTCTGCCATTATGTTCATCAATCTACTTTTTTATAGATTCTGGTTGTATCTCAAGGTCTTTGATCCACTTTGGATTTATTTTTGTGTATGGTGTGAGATACGAATACAGGGTTAATGTTTTATTAGTGGTTATCCAGTTTTGCCAGCATACTTTGTAAAAGAGACTTTCTTTACTCCATTTCATTATCTTAGCTCCTTTTTCAAATATTAGCTGATCATATACGTGGGGGGGAGGTTGTATCTGTATATTCTATTCTTACCCACTGGTTGGAAATTCTGTCCTTATACCAATACCATGCTGTTTTGATCACTAACACTTTATAATATAGTTTCAAATTAAGTAATGAGATATCCTGTTTTCTTTTTTTTCAGTATGGTTTTGGCTATTCAGGGTCTTTTATGAATCCACACAAACTGCATTATGGGCTGTTCTAAGTCCTTGAAGAATGCTTTCTGAAACTGGTTAAGGATTACATTGCATCTATATAGTAATTTAGGTAAGACGGTCATTTTGACAACGGTAATTCCTCTGATGCAAATGAAATACTTTATTTCCTAAGTTCTTCTATTTCTTTCTTAAGTGTTTTTAAGTTTCCATGGTGTATATCTCCCATTTCTTTTGTTAATTTGATTCCTTGGTATTTGATGTTCTTGGAACACTCTTTAATTTTTTTAAAATTTTAATAAAATAAACTATGAGATAGTTACAAAGCTTTTGTGATTGAGCTTCATTCAAAGAATAATCGAACATCCATCCCTCCATCAGTGCACATTTTCCACCACCAATGTCCCCATTATCCCTTCTGCTATCCCCACACCCTAACCCTGCCCCCTTGGCAAGCACCGTCCTTCTCTCTCTACTTTGGAGCATCATGGTTTGCAATACAGATATTGAGAGGTCATCATGTTTGGTCCTTTATCTACTTACAGCACACATCTCCCATCCTAAGTGATTCCTCCAACAATCATTGACTAGGTGGTCCTTTCTCTATCCCAACTGCTTCTCCAGCACATTAGGAAGTCTTCCAAACCATGGAGCAATCCTCCTGACCCTTGTCTCTACTGTCATTGGGCATTAGTCTGATATTATGTCATATGTGGACACTTTTTTTTGTTGTTTTTTTAAAAATTTTTAAAAAGTTTTATTAGTGAAACACCATGAGGTACAGCTGTAGATTTACAAATTTTTGTGCTTGGTTTCGTTTATACAATGATCAAGTACCCATCCCTCCACCAGTGCCCATTTTCCACCACCATGGATTCCAGTATCCCTCCCACACCCATCCCCCCATCCCACCCTGCCTCTGTGGAAGGGCATTCCCTTTTGTTCTCTCTCTCCTTTTGGGTGTTGTGGTCTGCAAAAGAGGCACTGAGTGGCAATCATGTTCAGATGAAGACTATTTTGAATGAGATAAATACTCTGATCTCTTTCTCCTCTAATTCAGTATTTGTATATAAGAATGTGGCCAATTTCTGTGTGTTGACTTTGTAGCTAGCCACTTGCAATATGGCTTATTGTTTCTGGAAGGCTATTGGGAGGACTCTTTTGGCTCTTTTATATATAGTATCATGTCACATGCAAAGAGAGATTATTTGATTTCTTCTTTTACAATTCCGACGCCTTTGTTATCCTATTCTTGCCTGATTGGTGTTGCCTGGATTTCTAATACAATGTTGAATAAGAATGGTTATCCTAGCCTTGTATCTAATCTCAGTGGGAATGCTTTCAGTTTTTCACCAGTAAGACTAATATTTGCTGTGGGTTTGTTATATATAGCCTTAATTATCTTGAGGAAGGTACCTTTTAGTCCTGCTTTGTTGAGGTTTTTTTTTTAAATCATAAACGGATGTTGAATCTTATCAAGAGCTTTCTCTGCATCAATTGATTTCATCATTTTTTTTTACCTTTTTTTTTTCACTGAGCTGATTTTCATGTACTGATCCTCCCTTGCTCCCCTGGGATAAATCCCATTTGATCATGGGGTATGATATTTTTATATACTGTTGGATTCAGTTTGCTAAGATAGTGTTGAGGATTTTTTGCATTGATGTTCATCAGGGAGATAGAATGGTATAAAATTTTTGATTTTAGATATGTCTTTTTCTGCTTTGGGAATCAGTGTAAAGTTAGCTTTGTAGAAGCTGTTAGGAAGGATTCCTGTTTCTTTGATACTTTGGAAAAGCTTAAGGAGCAACAGCAGGAAGTTTTCTCTGAAAGTTTGAGAAAACTCACCATGAATCCCATCTTGAGCAGGACTTTTGTTTCTGTTTTCTTTTTTTTTTTTTTTGATTAAGAAGTTAAATTCCTAATTTCTGTTTCATTTCCTTTTTTGATATTGGTCTGTTCAGAATTTCTATTTATTCTTCATTCAGTTTTGGAAGATTACATGTTTCTTAGAAACTGTCCAATTCTTCTAGGTTCTCCAACTTAACTGAGTAGAGCTGTTCTTAGTAAGCCCTAATGATGTTTTGGATTCTGAAGGTTATGCTTCATTTCTCCTTTTTCATTTATGGTCCTATTTACTTGAATACTTTCTCTTTTTTTTCCTCATGAGTCTAGCCAAAGGTCTGTTTATCTTATTTATCCTTTAGAAAAAAACAGCTTATGGTTTCATTGATTCTTTTGTATTGCTTTCTTGGATTCTATATCACTGATTTCTGGCATCATTTTTTTTCTTCCTTCTACTGGTCTTTGGATTCATTTGCTGTTGGTCCTCCAGATTTTTGAGATATGTGTTTAGGCTGCTGAGTTTACCTTTCTCTTATTTCTTCTTTCAGGCCCATATTGCTATGAGTTTTCCCCTAAGTATAGCTTTTGCTCTGTCCCGTAGATTTTGATACCCTGTTTCTTTATTATCATTAGTTTCAAGGAATTTTACTATCTCTTCCTTTATTTCCTCATTGATCCAGCTTTTATTTAGTGGCATGTTGTTTGTTTCCAGATGTTAGAGTTTATCCACATCGTCTTTTTATGATTGATTTCTATCTCTATGGCTTTGTAGTCTGAGAGAATGCTTGGTAGAATTTTTTCATTTGTGAATATATGTAATTTATCTGATGCTCTAATATGTGATCTATCATAGAGAATGTTCCATGTGCACTAAAAGGAAAGTACACTCAGCTTTTTGTGAGGGTAAGGCTCACTAAAACCTTTTTTCAGAAGCACACAGTCATCCTGCACATCAGAATAAAGACAACTGCTTTAGAGTATAAAAAAAGATGACAGGAAGAAAGAGAGGAAAGGTCCTAGTTATTATGCATCCTAACTCTATTCTTAAAATTTAGAGATGAATCACTCTTTCTTAAACGTATTATCTCAATCTATCAACTTCCTTTTGTTGATACCAATAATAAAAAATTATTGATTTCTTTTTTTTATGGTTGAAAGTGGGTTTATTTCTAGTAGTTCTCAGGAGACCTAAGGCCTCATCTCAACTTTAATAGCAGCTCAATGAAAAGGTCCACAATGTAGTGATGTCTCACTCAGAGGTCTTCTGATAACACCTGACAGTGTTTGGGGACCACAGGATCCTATTGGGATCGCCTACATGTAAGGCCTTTGCTGTAGCCCCTGTAATATATCACTGGCTCCTTTGACTGATGGAATTTACAAAAAAAATTATCAAATTATTGTTTTAAGAGAAAAAATTGTGTTCAAAAAATCCTGTTATGTGAAATGATAGGGAAGAAGGACAGGTCAATCTTGAGAGTGGCAAAGGGAATTCTGGCCTTTAGTGCACAGGGGTCTGAGAATAGCTACACCTGTCTAGAAGGTTGACATCCCTCCAAGAGTATGGTACATTCTATAAAAGGTTTTTAGAAATAACAAGGACTCTTAATTTGTTCTCCTATCAGAGAAGTAGGTGGACTATTATCCCGTTCAATAAGAACAAAGATGCAGAGATTGTTAACAATTTCATAAGTGAAGAATTGGGGGGGGGGCGGAAACTAAGCCAAATTCATTAATATCATCTGTCATCTGTAACACTGGGTACTTCATTCCTTTAAAACACTGATATTAAAAACACTAGTATTCCTTTAATAATCTGTTGTTTCTAAGGTGACAAATGTCCTGCCCTTGAAACACATTTATTTATTTATTCATTGGGAGGCCATGCCCAGTTGTGATCAAAGATTACTCCTGACTCTGCTTAGGGATCACATCTTATGGGGTTGGGAGAACCATGTCTGGTGCCAGTGATAAAACCTGGGTCAGCCACATGTAAGGCAAGTGCCTTACCTGCTGTACTATCTCTCTGGTCCAAATGAAACAGATTTTAGATAAAATTAGGAAACATAATTTCACATTGCAAAGCTCCATTCTGTATGGATGGATAAACTGCAATGCTAAGGTATGCAAAGTATATCTAATGAGTAAGGAGTGTTGAAGAATTGAGACTTAACCTTAGGAACATGTGGTCTGGTGATTTTGATTTTTTTTTTTAAAACTTACGTCGCTGAGCCTCTCCCGGGAGCTGCTCCTGTGGAAGCCCTTGGATTCTCCACTGGCACTTTCACTGTCACTGTCCCTGCAGCTGTTCTGCCCTGGTTTGACCTAAATACAAAGAAAGGAAGAAAAAGAAAAGTAAGTGTTCTCCTTAAACAACTACTTCTTCATCCCGGTTGTTCATCCCTGTCTAATGTGAACAATTTAATATACAATTTATATTTTAAATATCCTTCCCAGTTTCTCAATTATGGCAGAATACTGGTGAAGGAGCCACGGAGAATAGAATTACAAAAACAGTTCACATAAAATACCTTTGTAGATATAAAATTTGTCCTAAATAATTCTTTGAAAAAAATCTAACAGAAGTCACAATTCAGAGCATCATTCTATGCTCAAGGAAGAGAAGAGGGAGGGGAGGGGAGGAAAGGAGGGAAGAAGGGAAGAAAGAACAAACAATAGAAAACAAGATTTTTTTCCTTCTAAGATAAATTATAAGATTACACTCTGAAAAGATCTTTTAGATCCTTTCTGTTGCTGTTGAGCTTGGGGCATGCCACTCCAGTCCAGTATTTGAGACCAACAAGGCTAAACACCTGACAGTACTTATTAGTCCATGAGGTGCTGGAATAAAATTCAGATCTCAATCATGCTATGTCTTAGATTTTACTGTTGTGCTATTTCCAGGGCCCACTTCTTCAAAAAATTTTTTTCTGGAAATCTCTTGCCAGTTCATTGAAAGCACCATATTAAGACATAAAGCTTAAGTACAGTAAAATGGAACTAATTCAACAAATATTTACTAAGTGCTACATTTACAACCAGTATGAAAATCTGAAGACTGAGTAATAAACTAAACTTTTTAAGTCTTCCACTTTAGGAAGCTTACATTTGAGTAGTTTTTACACTTTCATCTAGCTCATATTCATGATTCTCTACACATTTACCCAGTTCTGATTACCATGAAAATCAACATACACAATTTTTCAAAAAATTATATGATTTTGAGTGTTATACAAAAAGACCCCAAGTCTTGGATGTAATCACCATACACAAGTGTAGAGTTTATAAGACATATAAGCCTTTTACATTATCCTCATTAAAACAAGAAAAACGCTAATAAAGCCAAAGAGAATAGGTGCTAAATTGAAACAAAAAAGTAGTCAATGGAAATCTGGGGGAAAGGATTTCTAATGCTGCAGCTTTAAAATGTATGATGGAGGGGCTGGAGCAATAGCACAGCAGGTAGGGTGTTTGCCTTGCACGTGACCGACCCAGGTTCAATTCCCAGCATCCCATATGGTCCCCTGAGCACCACCAGGGGTAATTCCTAAGTTCAGAGCCAGGAGTACTCCCCGTGCATCACCAGGTGTGACCCAAAATGCCAAAAATAAAATGAAATAAAATAAAAAATAAAATGTATGGTCGACCGCTGGCTGGGAGGTTAGGGGAAAGATACCACTGACGGAAGAAGGGAAGCAGCTATGCTATGAAGGGATAGGAGTCTTATCTGAAACTATTTCTTTCTAGAAGAAACAGGAACCCAGGGAAGCCAGGTTAGAACATAGAAAGTTCAAAACAAAACACAAGTCCTGAGTAGGAGGGAACTTCAAAAATTAGTCTGAGTAAGAAATAGCAAAGCCAATGGTTGTATGCTTTCCTGTGGCACCAAAGCTAAGGGAATGCTGAACCAAGATGAAAGGAGAATGATTATGAATCAGTATTTCTCGTGTTTTGTTTTTGATTGACTTATTGGTCATGGTCACGGTCACGGTCCTCCCGTTGTTCATCGATTTGCTCGAGCGGGCCCAGTAACGTCTCCATCATGAGACTTGCTGTTACTGTGTTTAGCATATTGAATACGTCACGGGGAGCTTGCCAGGCTCTGCCATGCAGGCGAGATACTCTCGGTAGCTTGCCGGGCTCTCCGAGAGGGGTGGAGGAATCGAACTCAAGTCGGTCATGTTGGCCACTTGTGAGGCAAACGCCCTACCCCTTGGTTTAAATATGAATTTCAAAAAAAACCCATGTTTCTTTTTCAATGGTCATTGTCACCATTCCTATCACTTAATTTCCAATACCATCCCACCAATAAAAAGAATTCTCTCTTTGTTCCTCTCACACTTCTTCCCTTTCCGCTGGTTACCACCATAATTTCAGTGTGTCTATAAGTTAAAATTGATCATTTCTCGCCAGTTGCTTGTGTGTCATGTTCCGTATCAGTGAAATCAGTTCAGACAACATGTTTAGTCATATCTTCTAGTCATCTACTCCCAATATCCCATTTTCTTTGCTTATACTTGTTTTACAAATCCACTTTTGTCATTTTCTTCTAAAATCCTTTTTTTCCCTCTAGGAATATTTCTCTAATGAAAACCAGAAAAATTATACTAATTTTACTCTGAATCCTCTTGAGCCCTTAAGTACTTAGTTTCCTCCTAATTTACTGCTAAACCTGCTAATTCTAAATTAATTCAGATACGAGCTTTATGAGCCTTTTCTTACTGCAGTAGAATAAAAGTTTAGAATATTGTCATTGTCTGTGTATTCACCAGACAATGTAGGAAACCGAAACCCTACAGCTCACTCTCTCAGCCTCCATTTGGTGGTCTCAGGCCACGTCCCCACCCAGGGGACGCCATGGGTGGACAAAGGAGGAACCGAGGGCCAGGCTGGTTGGTGATCAATTCCCGTTTATTCCATTATCCCCATGCACCTGTTCCAATCTCACTAAGCCCCTCATTCCTATCTCCCCCTCCCACTAGCAGAATTGGTCTTCCTCTAGTCTTTCCCCAACTCTCCTCTTTGGGGATAGGATAGCAACTACACACCCAGGTTGGGTAGCACAATCAACATAGGAAAGCCCTTCCTGACTGCCTGCAGCCAGGGGATCAGGTTCAAGGGCAAAATGCCATTTAGGGTTTTTTTTCCCTTTCCTTAGTCTAATAACTTAATTAACATCTTAATTCTACTTCTTAATATTAGTTATTTTGTATGGACACAGTAAGAGATACATTAAGCTTGTAGGGTAGCTCTCCTGGGGATATCTCACTATAGATCTCAGACTACAGTGCTCAGGCCAGATTAATCTTTCCTAACCCTAGCAGGTTCCTAATCTAGTTGTTACTTTCTGGATCATGGCAGAATTTGTCCATGACTACGCTCTTAATTTATAGTTAAGCATTATGGCACTTTGGCCTGGCCCATTTTGATGCCAGGGTAGCTCACAGCTTGCCCTGGGTCCATCCAGTTCCTCATCGGGACCCTGCTTTTGGGGTGGTAGGAAGTCAGGGCAATTTAGGTGTAAGTCTAAAGAACAGATGCCCAGGAGTGAATATCATTTGGAGTCAATTAACTCCCAAGTTACAAAATCATAGCATTATTGTCTTCTTGTGTCCATACAAAAAGGTCAATGTTCTGAATTAACTATGCAAAAGACTTACGGAGAAGAGAACAGCAATATTTACAAGTGAGCAAAGTCTGATTAGGAAATAATGGTGACTGAACAGTTGGGGAAGCAGAGCACAAAGAAAGAGGTTACAAATAAACAAAGAGGAATGGGAGCACTATGATTAGAGTAACCCCAAAAACCTAAGCTCCCTGTAGCAAGGCAGAAACGACAAACCAATGTTATCCTACAATTGTCGATAACTTTTCATTTTTCACATTTTTAATAAGGGAGGATCTTACCTAAAACGAACATCATTTTTCCAACATGCCATGACCATTCTTGCCCTACCCTCTTCACATTAATTTCCACTGTCTGGAACATTTACCCTCTCTCTGTGCTTCTCAGGTCAGGGTTTGAAGAGCTCCTTCATTACAGATTTATTTTTTTAACATATGCTTTCAAAATTCAGTTAACATATTTTAAAAGGCATACTGTTAAATAATTCTGTACTGATAAAACCTGTAGGTGGAATGGGTACTCTAATTCACACTACCTGACGTAAATGACACTGGATCTATGCGTAAATTAAAGACTGTAAAGCTGCCTAAAATGGATTAAAGAAGCAATAGAGGAAATTTAGCAAGAGATTCAGGACTAAATCCATGTTTCAACCATCTACTCCTCTCTTCACTTTGAATCTATACAGATGTTTATATTTAACATGAAAATCATTCTGCAATGTATTAATATTTTCCATAAAATATACTTTAAAATACCATAATACCTGGCTGCATTTTAGGTGATATCTGATCAGCAGATGGCTGTAAATATTTTTTTACATAAAAAAATATTTTTTCATTCCATATAGGTATGAAACAAAAATACTGAAAATTAAGGATAACAGAATATCAAGGCTCATCCTAATAGCCATTATTTTAACAAAATCTAAACTTGCTTTTGGATCCTTGAATTTTTCTTCATGGAAAGGAATGACAACTTCAACAAGAGTTTAACAAGGATCTTCAGTGGCCCTGACATAAATTGTCTGACTAAATGTTGTTCTAAGCTAACAGGAAAATCCAACAAAGACTGAGACGTAGTTTTCTCATCCTTTCCTGCAAACTATCAGCAAAAGCACTTCAGCAAAATTTCTTCAGAGTCTTATGTAAAATCCACCCCATACTACTCCCTTTCTTTTCCAAAGCCAGGCTCAAGTTTAAAGGAAACTTAGGATTTTAAGCTGTCAGAGAGCTCAATATTTCAAAGAAATGGACTGACTACAGTAAGTACTAAAGCTAAACCACAGGATTTTAGGCAAAGAAGAACTCATTCCTAATCGCATGAATACATTTAAAACTAGCATTTACAGCCACATCCAATGGATCATTTAGAATAGCAAAACTAACTCAGAGGCTGTAATCCTTTACCTAAACTTCCTGCTATTACCTATAACCAAGAGACATTGCATAGGTCAGGTGTTAGCTTAAACACTTAAAAGACCTGAGAAAAATTGATTTATTTGCATTGATTTCTCATAATATCCATGGTATCTCTGTTGTAAGGAAGTTTTTGCTGTAATAGTGTAACAAGATTTCTTTTAGTTTTTAAAAACTTTGGAGTCACATTTAATAAAAAGTAACTATAATCTACTCTCTAATTTTAGAAGTTTATTCCCATTAAACTTCCCATTAAAGCAGTTTATGCAATAGAATTAGAA